TAATATTTCAACACAACGCGTCTCTTCGTGTGTTGCATGGTAAAGACACACGTGATTCTTTAGAAAGTGTGGGTTTTAATTTACCGATATATCCCCAACTACTAAAAGTTCTTTTCATGATAAAAAACAATTGTTTCATACATACTGAGATTTACGCTGTGAGGTACTATCGTTCGTGAATCTAAGTGAACGAACGATGTATTTTCACAGTCGTTCGCTTCCAATCTTTGAAATCTGTCGGTCAGTAAGGAAAAATCTCAGTAGCTTCGCTCACTCGTTCATTTTTATGATGCATCGCAACTGGTGAATAAAAATCGTTCGTGAATACTTTCTATGGAATAATTTCTATCAATCACTGGCCAAAATTATAATTTAGATTGAGTCGTTTTATGTACAAATTCAATACCACCGGTTGCTGGGACATTGATTTACTTTAGGCTCCCATGTCAATTTGCCGTTCAATTCAATAAGTTTCTCCAACATGCAAAGGGAGATTAAATCACTTATCATCAGGGTGTTCCATTTGATATAAACAGCGTTGGAACTAAACTCATTTTGATCTATCATCCGTTGTAAGTATTCAAACAATCAAAGCCAGCTTTTTTTTAAAGTTGATTTAAGTCTCAAGTCTGTGCNGTCCGAATCGGAAACGGGTAATCCTTGCAAAAGAGGAAATCAGATTCAGCTGGTCGACATGTATGTCCTACATTTGGGGTAATGTTGTCAAACTTGAGTTGGAGGGCAAAAAGCCACGGAGCATTAGTGCAAGACTTACAACTGCTGTGTTTTCCTTCTCAACACTAATAATAATTACAACATACACGGCTAAATTGGCAGCCTCTCTTGTTCAGCTGGATGTGGAATCCCTTGTTAAAGGGATTAGCGATCCTAAGGTGAGTGAAACTAGTTTAAAAGGTAACGCTATTCCACATGGTAAACTTCCCACAAATTTGAAGAAAAAATATAAGTCTTGGCTTCGAGCCGATGAAGAAAGGGTTGGAGATATGATGACACAATATTTATACAAAGGTATTCCATGCAAAATTCCATGCTGTCACAGTAAAAAGTCTTGCGTGTTTCTGAAAATCATTTAAGTAAACTTCTGTCTTGACGATACCTTAATGTGATTACTTCCTGTATTTAATAATTCCACTGATTCATACCTGCATGGATTAAAGAATTGTCTTCTGGATTTATAGAGCTACAAATATCTTTCTTGGTATTAGTTAAAGCTGTTTTAAAACCCCGACTACAATTTTCCCTGAAAATAAATTTGAATGTTCTGTAATGTCATCCAATATACCACAAGCTCGGTTGAACTGGAACCTTACATGCATGTAGTTTGTATGTTTTATGTTGCCTAGCTCAAATAAGGATCGTTGTTCATGAAGATTTTAATTTGTTGTTGTCGATGCTATTATTGTTATTGTTGTCGATATTGTTGTATAAACCGGATCAATTTGCCATTTCTGATAATTTGGGATTATTGATGAGTCCCCCGTACTTCTCCACACTGTCAGGGATTTCCCTACATCGCATGAACTCTGTACATATTGACTTTTAACAAATTAAAACACGACACTGACGAACATCAGAAAGAGAATATAATCTCTTGATATCAGCGCATTTAAAAAGACAGTGTTCGTCATTTTTTAATTGAAGCCAAAATTGAATGCGAACACTGTAAAGAGATAATCAAACACATGATAAATATAAACAATAACCTATATTTGGAAGTTAGATATGCACGGATAATTGCCCGCGGGGATTATCTGTTCCGAGGAGCGAACAGTTTTCCGAAAGGGAAGCTCGAGGTAAAACCGAGAGCTTCGTTGTAGCACATATAAATATCTTATTTGTTTTCCTTTGGAATGCTTTGAATCTGAAAGCAGTAACACCAGGTATTCACAGGTGGAAAGAGCGTGGTGAGTTGGCCGTCGAAATGAGACTAAATTAGAAAAACATAATACCTCTTTTTCACAGGTAGTTAGCCAAATGCAACATAATCGGAGCCAGCTATAAAGGGAAGAATTTTCACCTAGTTGTAAAATGATGCAGCAAAGTTATTTAACTAAAACTCGTGCTCTCGTGCAAGACTTCGTATTCGTTTTAATTTATTAAAGATTTGATCAAAATGTTTTCTCTCCTTGTATCGTCAACTCTTTTAGTTGAGAGGCAGGTGGCGAGAATAAATGGTATAATCAACTGGGAGAATTTTCCCGTTCAAACAGCATATTCTCATAGCTTCAACTTAAAAAAATGTACAAAGTTGGTGATGAGAGTTTACATGTCCACTTTGTATTTGAAGATAGTAAGTGCTAAAGTCCTAAATTATTTACAAAAAAAAATTCAACAAAAATATTGAACTAAACCAGCGCAACATATAGATCTATAAATTATATTACCAGCTTCACCTCTATCGAGTTTGAAGCGACGTTAGCATAGAATTCAAAATATGATAATTTATACTAGTTATGTCTGGGCTTTATCTGCCCTGTTTGGATTTGTGAGCTGTTATGTTGGAAATCAAATCAATCTCTCTTGTGAAAACGGCGTGTGTTCCAGACAAGCGGATCAAGGACCATGTGTTGTTAGCGACGACTACGAACGCCTTTTTAGATGGGACCCAGTCAAGGTAAGTTAGAAGAGACTAATTAAATAGCTTCGTAAGAAATATAAATTATTTTGACTGTGAACGCGAATGGTACTTTAGGTCTTTCATCTTTAAAAAAGGCGGTATCCATTTAGCGTCTTGAATATAATGGCGTCTGTGTAGGGATCCCTGACATACTCGGATAATACTCGTTAAAATACACACTTGTCAGAATCCCGCATTAAGAACATAAGTTGGGGGCTTTAACACCGAGTAAAGTTATTCGACACGTTTGATCGTGTACTCTGATCGTCTGAGTCAGAGAAGTACTGTGAAGGACTGTTATCGTTATGTGTAGCGACTAACGTTTCGACGACCTTAGCGCCGGGAAGTCAACTCTTCACTGACTTTGATTGCAACGGTCCTGTCCAGTGAGAAATAATGGAACCCGAGCAATTAGACTGAATTTTACTTCTAGCTTTAAAATATGTACCGTAAATCAAAGTCAAACACTCTTCAAAATAAAGTGCTTATGTTCCGGTAGCTTGCGTGTTTGGCGGTTGAGTCTAAGTCGACTGTAAACAGCAGTGTCCCGAGGGGGATAGGAAGGAAAAAACGTCCGTACTACTGAGGTTTCGGTCCAGATTTAATGCGCGAAAAAAAAAAACACTAACCATATGGGCTGATATGTGCTCTTTATTTCGTTGACAGAGAGGTCAAGTGAGAGAATTAGAGTTAGAGCCTGGGAAAAAATACAAGATGATAACTTTAGCCTCTAAACCTCCGGTGTTTGGTAAGACTTGATAGATAAAACTTAGATTTATTTTTCTTATCATAAATCAACAATACCATAGATTGGTCAAAAAATAAAACTCCTCATATTTCAGGATTGACTATCTGTATAGCTGTAATTTCTCGGATGATCAATGACACCCAAGAGACTAATTATAATATCATGTGATTGGCCAAAATATGATTATTCCGCCGCATAATTTAAGTATGTTTTCCACCCGCCACTTCGTTGGTTAATGTCTTTTTCGCAAACACGTAACTCCATTGGGGAACCCTTGAACTCTCCTCATGCAGTCGCTTTCTGCTAAAGAAAACAAGGATAATCTAAATTAACAGCCTTGTGAGTTGGTCTTACAAACAAACATCACACCAATAATTAATATTTGTCTCGCTTTCTTTGAGTAACCTTTGGCCGTTTTGCTTAGATGTCTCGTCAGAATGGTTTTTTACACTGTCTTATGGTAAAGGATAGACGGTTAAGTTAGCTTAAGAAAAAGAAAAATCCTCCAAGTTTCAACAGCATGGAGCGACTAAGAGCCGTGTAGTTACTCCCCAGAACAGGATATCAGTTCATCGCCGGTTTTTACCCTTAGTGTTAAGTTTCCCCAACAGTTCGTCAGTAACCGTTTATATACACCTGGATGAAGGATTTGGATTTCTTTTTTCAGCCTTGTCCGAGTAATTCCTTTGTGATGTTTGGAAACACTTCATTAACGCAGTGCCTCTGCAATTAAAACTTTACACTGGCCACCAGGCAAGCCGCCATGGCCTCTATCCCCCACTTCTTTTATGAGCCACCTTGATGTGTCTGCGCGTGCGCGTGGCTTGTTTTCGGTGTCAGTTGGTACCAATGAGAGGAAATAGCCTTAATTGCGACGAGCTTCATGATTATGTAAACATTTTGAGTTGAAGGAAAGTTTTAATTTGCCCTATTTTACAGAACTTCCTGATTTTCTAAGCGACGAAGAAAGTGAGCATATAATCGATCTAGCTGAAATGTTCGGCCTTGAAAATAGCCTCATGCACACGGATGAATTTCAAGAACAACATAAGAAAGAGGTGAAAGGTAACACTAATAGTCTAAATGAAATTTTGTCCCAATAATAAATCCATAAATCGTATTGGTGCTCTGTCACTTTCGACTCCGCTAATCCTTGGCAAATGCAGGACGCGCGCACGTGTCTAAAGTTCACGGCTGGTAATGTGCATGTCTATCGAACCTTGTTATAATGGTTTCGCTGTGAAATGTAATGTTTATCGAAATATATTATGATTTGACTGAGATACTTTCTGCCTGAAAAAAGCGAGTTGGAAGATTTTGGGGAAAAATGGTAAAGGTGGGAGCGAGCTTGTTGTGTTGCAGGCTGCGAACCTGGAAAAGTGGCAGAGGGCGAACTTGTAACGGGGCCAAATGTCCAATTACCCTCACCCGTAGGTCAAAGACTCGATGCCCCATTAGGATTCAGAATTTTTTTGTTTTTTTTTTTTCCCTCTCTCGTGACAAGAGGAAAAAAATGTCTTGAGTTGTTTATTAGATTGCCAAACTCAAAGTTTGCCATTTTCTGTCATACCAATATTTTTTGACTAATTTACCAGGGCACGCAATGGGAGCTGCTGGATTATATCTGAGCTGGGACAAAAATCAGGACAAGGAGATAACCAAAGACGAGGTTGTGGAACGTTTCAAAATCATTCTGTTTTAGATAGATAAGTTGATGTATGTATGTGGCTGTTCAATGTCGAGGAAAGCTTTACAATTTATTCCTCCAAGAGGAATTAAATTCACAAACTTCTCGACAGTCACAAACGCCATTTGAAACAGTAAGGAATCCTCTCCGAATCAAACGTCACAGTTGAGCCGTAGGCAACATGTCTATTAGAAAAAGCAAAGCTCGAAATCTTTTCCTCTGGCTTGATATTTTATTAGTAACTTAAGTATTTTTCGTAAGATATCATATGAAATACTCGGCCGGCTTTTGCCAATTTCTACTTTTCCACTCTCTCAATTACAGGTAATTCACTTTTCACGCAGATATAAGTTTCTTTACATGACTCCAGAGGAAGTCGACGACATGTAAGTGCAACTTACTCTGCTTGACACAGTCAAGGCTTTCTTAACGACCACTCGAGCTCTTACCCTGAGCGATCACTCCCCTTACGGACCACCTTGTACTCTTCAAGATCACCAAAACTCAATAGTTTTGAGCCAACACACGTATTTCTTAGCAGTCATGGTCACGCCACGCAGTACCCGCAAATTTCTACAGGCAAAAACAGGAGACATCTCAAAAATTCAGACACTATTCTTTGAATTTTCAAGGTAAAACGCAATTGGTCGAGTTTTCGTCGAAAGCGGCGATATTCATGCACTTCGCCAAATTTTGCAATTATTGCTTCGACTCAATACAGCAGTTTTCTTCAGAGTTGCCTCGCAATCCCTTCTCTTCCTTTAAAAATAATTTTTTTCTAGACCTGCGTCGGTTGAACAAAGGTTGAAAAGAAAAATAAACCACAACTTTCACGGTACCCATAGAGTAGATAACTACCGAAATCTTCCACCCCTGCTATGGAAAATGATCCAACATATTTGCTAAGTGTCATAGTGACCCACGGAATTGAAAACTATTCTAAAATATGCTTTTGCTTTTTCTCAGGATAAAGAAATTGAAGATCAGAGAGTTTGATGATGGTATGGTTGTTTCTTCAGAGAAATTTTAAATTGAGTGTCTAAAGGAATCCGTCATTGCATAGATTTTGCTTTACTTTGCTATGTGATTGGTCTAGAAAATTCGCCGCTCCTTCTCAACCAATCAGATTCAAAACCAAAACTAGCCATGACTTGGTCTCTCGCGTTTTCCCGCGCTTTATGCATTTAGTTGTTTTACTTTGAGTTCTCATTGGCTCTTCAGGGTATTTTACTTTCTTCTGATTGGCCTTTGTAACTATAACTACTTTGGTTTCTTTTTTACGGCACTCAAAAAGTGCCCTAAAGCTTTTCTTTCTCGATGTATGCAGTTTTGTCAATCTCTTTTTCCTCGGTTTCTTTGTTAGTCTTCTTTGTCTTTTTTTTTTTCTTTTTTTCATTGCAAATCTTTTTGGTTGTTTGTTTGTTTGTTTTGTGTTTCGGTACTTGTTTAAAACGATTACTGAAAAACAAAACAAGTAAACAAGTGTTAATGGTTATTTATTTGTAGGGAGAGTGACAGTCCAAGAATTTCGTAAACTACCAACGGCTGCTATGGACGACTACATGAACAAGCTGAAAGAATTATCACCAGTTCACCGTGAACGAAACAGCCACCAAACCTGGCTACATCAGGGAAAGTTTGCTAGTAAAACCATGCAAAAGTTACGAGAAAGGTGAAGTTAAGAAATCACTTTCATGCGTATGTGTTTGTTGTTTTTTTTTTTATATTATTATACACTGTAGTCACAATCTGTCTTCTCATTGGCTAAACGCCCGCAATAAACTCTGGGAAACAGCGCAATCTACAGATTATTCACTAATCTGTATCTGCAGATTAGTGAATAATCTGTAGGTTACGCGCGCAATGAATGATTATCTTTGGAGCAATGTCAAGTTCACGGACAGCGAAGTGAGAATGGCTTTTCGATTCGTTTCATCGACCCAGCGAGAAATTGAGAAATTACTTGAAGATAAAGATTCGGAAAATACTAAAAGATCGACAGTTTTCTTTAATGATACTTTCTTTAGAAATGCATTTAACTTTTCTACACTTGATTGTTTTATAAAAACGGTGAAAATTTGTTTACCACACAGTTGTACATTTTTAAGTGTTCGAAAATACACTGTGTCCGCTGCGATAATGCGTTTGGCGTTGTTTTCTTTAAAGCAATGTATAATAAAACAATTATTGGATGAGGCTTTTGTGATATCCGGAATAATCAAGGTCTCGGTTAGTATCACCCTCAGCCTTCGGCTTCGGCTGATAACACTTACCTCGACCTTGATTATTCCGGATATCACAGAAACCTCATCCAATATAATTGTTTATAATTATTGTTTTGATGCTGTTATTGTTGTTATTGTTATTTTGGTGTTAATGAACGCTGTTTGTCTCTAAATTTTGCAAATCTGTAAAGCTTACTTAAGTCAACTTGTCTGTAATTAAATCAGAGAAGACTCAGTATATCAAATATGTGGTATCTATAAACTGCGAACGGGTAGTGTACAGCCCTTTCGAGATAAAGTAGGTGCTAAAGTCCTGGATTATTACAAAAAGATGACTACGCCAGCAGCTGGAAAAACAGTGCTCGGGATTTTTACGTCGTGTCTTTAATGGTACGCTGTCGATTTTATTCTTCATCCATGTCTACAAAATTAACACGAAGATTATTCTTTCACAGAATAAAAAAACTAACAAGGCTATCCGATCGTATCATTCGTGGTAGTGAACCTTTACAGGTAGGATCCAGCGTGTGCATCCTGGCATCAGTATGCATATTCTCCATACTGTTCTCTATACATTTCCTAAGGTGCTGACAAGGAGAATTTGTTTAACAATCAAGAGCTTCTTTAGTTGGCGGGGATCATTTCCTTCATTTTCCTGATCTTAATGTTTTGATTCAGGGGCAAATTAGGTCTTAGACACTCTTCGGGGTACCTGAAGGGTTCTTAGTGTACTTGCCTTTCTACAGCTGGCAGAAGAGTATCAAGTTATGACTCTTATTTCCCAGATAGATCTCACACCCAGGCTAATCCCATCTGACCTAATGCATGTTACTCCATTTCCGTTCTCAGAGATATAAAAAGGATCTCGGAATAACCGAGTGACCTTTAAAGTGAATTTCGCACACATTCGACATCCCATGGGCAGTTATTTATCCTCCCTCAAGTCGTTCAAAGGCAAAATACGCCAACTCAGTATAAGTGAGCTCTTAGATGATGGCTGCACATGCTGTAGCCTCTGCTCCTCCTGAATTTTATATATTTTTATCACAAATCCCGTACGTATGATGCTCGATCCTCGCAGTAGA